TCGCGTGACCATGTAAGGGAAAAACTAGTGTACATTTTGTCGTCCTTGCTCGGCATTGGCAGCGTCCTCCTGATCCGAAATTGGCGCCCTCCTGACCCTAAATTGGCGCCCTCCTGAGCCAAAATTGGAGCCCTCACCAATTCTATAGCCCCTTCCAAAAAAATTCCTGGCTGCGCCCCTGGCTGCGGCCAAGATATTGGCGGATTACCAGAACACTCAGGTGTCTAATGTGTCAACAGTCTGATGCACTATCACACCCCGACAACCCTATTTGCGTCGCGACACTTGCCGAGCTAGACCTAAAGATAGCTCAAACGGTTCAACCCGAGCAGTCAGCACACTGCCCGTCGTCCATCGTTCCTAATGCTCTGAATTTGGCTGTTGCCACTTGCCACTCCTATCCTGCAGGCACCCACTCCCTTTGTCCAGCGTATGTGTAAGTACATACTTACATACGAGTATAGATATAAAGACTACATAGGACAGCCCTATGTAAAACCCGCTCGCGTGATACGTAAAGCGGCACGACGGCCAACCACAGCTGACATCATGGACTCGCTAGTTTGCACGGCAGGAGGCCCCATACAGGGATTACGATTGCGTTCGTATCCAGCTTGTCAATGCGAGTTTACGGTTGAGAGTGCACACCACCTCCGCATTGAGCCGGACCTAAGCACCGCAGTTTAGGAAAACAAACAAAAGATTATTTCCCATCGTGCTTTTTATCGATTATTTTGTTTTATTATGCTTTTGTTTTAAAAAGAAATAAAAATAAGAAAATCTCGATTTTTTCCGTTACAAGACACTGAAAGTGGAACGGGGGAGGAGCAGATACATACATTGCTCGTTCCCGGCCTGTTTGAATCGAGGAGAGGGCATGGTCTAGGGTGTCTCGAAAAAAGTTGACATGTATATAGTCCACAAATTTGCAATCGAATCTGCTGGTTTCGAAAATCGCAATTAAAAAATTATGAGCCATTGTCTTCAACAAGCGCAGTCGCGATTTCCGAAAGCTTGCACCTACTTTTCAGGCGTTGCAGTTTCCATTGGTTTTGTTTGGTGTTAGTGGCAGAAATAATACGGTGGTTTTCACGAAAGTCTCAGGCAGAGTTCGTGGGTGAAGAGCGTAGTTTCAGGTCGGTAGTTAATTGACTTTATATAGTGTAGACGTTGTCGATACACTTTTTAACCCGCGTCGGGCCGGTGCTCTGAGATTCCGCGCCGGGCCGGGGGGGAGGGTCTCTGAACACCCCCCTTCTAACTCGGCTCCTGGGCCACTTAGCGGCACGTGGTAAGCGGCAATCGAAAGAACGTCCAAAATAGGGACGAAAACACCTAGGTCATTTTTGGGTCAGGTCAAAGGTCAGGTCACCGGAGGTCACCAAAGGTAAAATGTTGACTATTTCAACATTTTGGAAACTGCCGACGGCTATCTCGGGAACCGATAGAGCTACAGCGCCGCGGAAAAGCGCATTTAATAGCCCTTTTACAGACCTTTCTGAGTAATGCACCATCCGTGCGTTGGCGCTATTCCAAGCACCCTTGAAGCAGGGAAATGTTTAAAGTGCGGGCAAATTTTCAAATACGGAACTTAGACAAGTACCTAAGAGTCTTAGACTGCTTAACCCTCGCCGGCACAGGCCATTTTGCGTCCTTCGACGGCACAAGGGGGGGTTGGTTGGTTGGTACGACCCCCCCTTCGCGTATGGCCCCTGATCGAGCTAGAGCTTCGCGGAAAAAAACGAGCGTGTTGCCCGTCACGAGAGGAAGCCGATGATACCCAATTTTAACACGCGTACCGACGGGGGGCGGATATCCGCCCCCTGAGGTTTTTCGCAAATAGCGGGAAAACCGCGGCGCTACAACCGCGGCGCGTAGCGCCGCGAAATTTGGTACGACTATTCTCTCAACAATTTTACACATGGTGTGCAAGTTTGGACCTCCTAACTTTTAAGGTCAGGTTACTTTGAATGACCTAACCTCAAGTTACTTTTTTGCAAATTTGTCACCGTGCCAGAGCTACAGTAGATGTCGGAGGCCTTTGAAAGTCGCAGGATGTTATGAGGTCATTATTAGCTACAATTTTTTTTATCTCGGAATTTTGATATCGATGACCTAAGGTCAGGTCAATTTCTCGACCTACCCATTATAAGTCAATGGGGGAAAAATCAACTCCCTGTTTTTACCACTAAAACGGGTCGGAATGGCCCCATAAACCATACATGACCTCATATACGACCAACCTTCACTACCTTGAGGTCTGTTTTGCTGTTGGGCAGCTGTAAGGTCATGTGACGTCATCAAAGGTCACCAGCGGTTTTTTGACAATAGCTCCGTACAGGAACAAGATACAGCCGCGCAGATGGTCTCATTGTGTTCAGCTCGTCAAGGCGCATCGAATGATATACATGATAACCTCGAGGTCACGTGACCTGAGGTCAACCTTTGACCTTGACCTTTCGATGTCAACATATATATCATTCGATGCGGATTGACGAGAGGATCACGATGCTGCGCTTAGTTTGTTCCTATAATGACTAGTTCGAAAGTTATTCGAGAAAAACTCTCCCCATACCTAGCGCCGCCATTTTGACTTTTTGACCCCTGTGACGTCATCTTTGACCTGACCTGAAAAAGACCTTTGTAAAAATTGTAGACCTTGTCCGTGCGTATCCCTTGCCGTTTACCGCTTGTCGCTATCTTGCTTCGTTCTCGAGATCTCAGGGGGGGGGGGCGGTCATCCGCCCCCCCCGTCGGTACGAAGTTGGCGCAGACCCCGTCGGTGCGCGGGTTAAGGTCCTAGGTCATCGGGTGACCTTCCAGGTCAGGTCAATGACCCGAAAACCGGGAAAATCGGGACCTGTTGAAAGTCGCTAAGTGTGGCTGCTTGTATGTGGTTTTCCGGGGTGCTAATCACGATTATCGTGTTAGTTTTGATCACAGATGATGTCTTTAAGCTAAAGACCAGGTCGGGTCAGGTCAGGTCAGGTCAACCGGTAGGGGTTGTGACGGGTATTCGTAATACGTGTCAACCGCCTCTGACAGCTACGTAACATGCTACGAAGGCACCAAAACTACTTCGTAAATGTTCAAATGGTTGCTAAATTCGAATTCAGCTCCAAAAACTAGCCTAGAAACATGTAAAACTCGAAAAAGTGAAGCGAGGTCACCCGAGTTCAGCAAAGGTCAATGAACTGATTTGACTTTCAGGTGACCTTGACGCCCACCCTAATGTATGGGAGCAACATCAAATCACATGTTTGAACGTTTGAAACCACGAAAAGAGCTTGCAAACGCGCGGCTAATGCGAGCCGACATACGCGGAATCGCGATTCCGGCCAAACATGGTCTTGGAAAAGAGGTCACAGGTCAAAGGTCATTTGGGTCAGGGTCATGAAATTTTCAGGGTAGGTGTAGAATTGATCAATGCGAGGGTACTGAAAGTGTCGTCGCGATCGGCCGCTTTTTACGCGAGTTATTCGCGAAAAACATTAACCCGCGCCCTGATGGGGGGGGGGGCCATTTTGGCCCCCCCTGTGGTTTTTCTTAAATAGCGAGAAAACGGCGGCGCTGCATTTTGGGTACCTTACCGGACATCAATTTGACACCTTCACACAAAATTTCAAGTCACAGGTCACCTCAGGTCAGGAGTTATTGAGGTCAAACTGAGGTCATGTTCGAGTAAAAATGAGCAAAAAACATGACATCTTGAAACGCTCACCAATTCTACAGTTAACAAGCAATTTTAAAGTTCTTTATGTGGGTGTGTAGAGAAAAGTCGGCGCTTCAAAACTGCAATCTCGGATTTTCGAAATTTTTGGATTTTGACCCCCAAAAATCAAAAAAATTGATTTTTTTAGAAAAACTCAAAAAAATTCCAAAAATTTTTCGAATTTCGAAAAAACCGGAATATATGTGATAGTGCCTGCGCTCTTCGATATACATACCAAATTTTAGATCGATACCTCTTTTTTTGGCCAAGTTATAGCGAAAAAACTGTTAAAAATTGATGACGTCAAATTTTTGAACTCAATTTTTAGCAATTCTAGACCTCGTAGCGCAAAACGGAGACCACCATTGAACTCCCCGTGACGAGCTGCATCGAATCGATACCCATTTTATGCAAAAATATCAACTTTGAAATTTGACCTAATTTGACCTGACCTTGACCTGACCTTGACCTGACCTTGACCAAAACGTGACCTAAGCTGGCCCTAAAGTCTGTCTGACCCACATAATCGCATTTGTCATGTAAAATGGACCATAAAACATGTATCACACGACACTTTCATATTGTGACCCCCCAGTGACCTGACCTCTATGACCTGACCTGGTATCAGTGACCTCAAATAGCAAAATATGTGTTTGAAGAACATTTCCCCATCGATGATTTTCAATGAAATGCATTTTACACGATTTTACAACGCATTTCTTGAAATGCCTGTAAACGGTGAAAATTCGACCTTTGACCTGACCTGTGACGTCATCGGTTTGACCGAGGTCTGAAATTGGGTCACAAGGTAGTTCCCCGTTGGGGCTATCCAACACCGTTTACCGCTTGTCGCTATGTTGCGTGGTTCTCGAGATCTGAGGGGGGGCCAAAATGGCCCCCCCCATCAGACCGCGTTGCTCGGCAGACCCCATCTGGGCGCGGGTTAAGGGGGTTGCATCAACCCCCCCCCCCCCTGTGTCGGCGAGGGTTTTAATGTAGAACATTTTCAGTGCATGTTAAGCACCCAGGGCTCTTGTTCCAGAACCATAGCATCCGACTAGCACACCGGGATGCTAATCTTTTTTTACTGTATCTTGAAGCGCAGTTTGATGTAATGTACAAAATTGGGATGTAAGCAATGTCATACCTGCATGTATTCGCTGAGCATAAACCTTTGAGCCCATGTCGTATGGGTGTAGCAACAGGTGGCGAGCTGATTGTAGCGGCCAGTAACGATAGCGTATCGTCATAAACCCGCACGCCTTCGACGGTCAGTCGCACTTTCGGGTTGCGAGGCGGTGGCGGGTTCCAGCTAGCCAGTCGTGGGTCCCAACGAGCCTGTGCCGAACTCCACCGAGCCTGTGTCGGACACTAGCGACCCAGGGTCGGGTCCCAACGAGCCAGTGTCGCGCTCCAGAGAACACGTGTCGGGTTATAGTGAGCCACTCTAGGAAGCCGGAGAAGGAACCAAGCGAGTTATTCCTGCGAGCCGGAGGAGGACTTCAACCTCAACGAGCTGCTCCAGTGAGCCAGTGTCGGACAGTGGCATATGGTCCAGGCAAGTGGCAGCGGAAGCTAGTGGTCAACATCATGACTAAGGTTACTGCTAGTGAGCTGATCCGAATTGGCATCCCTCTCGCATTTATAGTATGCTGTATTTTGATTCTGCTGTCCTATTCAGACCTTCAACATCAGCCGCAGTTTCTACCTGAACACCATGCCTCGTTGCCAATGCTGAAACCAACGCCAAACCGTTCGGAAAAGCTGTATAAATTACATCCAACCAAGGACAAACTTAACGGTATAAAACCGACCCGACCTCGGGTAACAGGCCTGATCGTCAACTCAAGCGTTTGTCACCTGCCGGATTTTGATCCGTGGGATGATACCATCCGGGATATGCTACAGAAGGAGACGCCTCTGAAGGAATGCTCCCACGACCAGCCGATCACCCTGACCCAGCGTGGACTGCAGCTGACCATGGAGGTCCATCATTCCCGTCTGAAGGGAGGCTGCCAGCCAGAATGTTGCATGCGCAGCGTGGTTCGCGACAAGGATGGAAGGTCCGACGACGCGTTCCGATTTGGAGTTAAAGAGACATGTTTCCGGGGCGAATCCACACTAAACGTCACAGACGAGTTCATTAGGGTGAGATGCTTCTGTTCAACCACTCCAAAGGCGACATTGTACGAGGATTTCAGAGCATTCATCGTTCCTAAGGCCAACAATACGGATTCACAACCCAAAAGTGATGTCAAGAGCAAAGAGAAGGTTGGCGTATACTTGGTTGGACTAGACTCAATTTCCACATTGAATTTCAAGCGCTATTTGCCAAAAGTTCAGCAGGTCCTCGAAAACGAGCTTCGTGCAATACCGATGACGGGACTTACTAAGGTTGGTGTTAATACATTTCCTAATATAGTGCCTTTGCTAACGGGTCTGGCTGTGAATCAACTAAACCAGTCTCTGCGTGGCAGCCCCTTTGACCATCAGCCTTTCATATGGAAGCAGTTTGCCGCTCTAGACTACGTAACTCTGTACATGGAAGACGAGCCTCTCTTCTCCACCTTCAATTACATCAAGAAAGGATTTTTCTCCCAGCCCACTGACCACTACGGTCGGCACTTGTACCTGGCAATACATCGTTCAAAACTGGCAAAGCGTAGCGGCAACCACTGTGTGAACGGTCGCCTCACGCTTGACCTCCAGCTTCAGTGGCTCGAAGACCTCATCGCTCAACCAGATCCGTCTCCGCAATTTGCGCTCGTGTTCAGCAACTCCCCAAGCCACAAAGGTCCTCTTAGCCACATCAGACCGCTGCAGCCTCGTCTGCTCCAGTTTCTGCAGACGTATCGCACCTCAAGACGCTACAACTCGTCGATCTTGATCCTGTTTAGCGACCACGGCATGCGTTTCGGTCCCATCATGCGTACAGAACTGGGTGGGTACGAGTCGAGGATGCCGCTCTTCTACATCGTACCTCCGCCGCGGTTTGAGACTGACCACCCAGAACGTCTCACCAGCCTGCGCACCAACTCCCGGAGGCTGACTACCTTCTTTGACGTGCACGCCACGTTGCGGGACGTTCTCTTAGACGCCGGAGCGACCAGCTCCGATCTGCCCGTCTTCCCCAGCCCTGGACATAGTCTGTTTGCGCCTGTGCCCGAGGAGAGATCCTGCGAAGATGCTGGAGTCGCACCTCAGTGGTGCGTGTGCCGGGTGCGTCAACCACTCCCTCCTGATCTTGATGTCGTCAGCCGCGCCGTGAACGCCACCGTGCGTCACATTAACGACGTCCTGCTGCGCCAGGTTCGAGCACAGTGCGCCGAGCTGCGTTTGCTACGAGTGATCGACGCATATCTGACTCTCTCCGAGACTGGTGGGAAGGTGAAGGACACTCATTACAAACTGGAGGCTTTCGACGAGGTCTCTGTGCGACTGGTGACGGAGCCCGGTCTCGCTGAGTTCGAGTCCACTGTGCGCTGTTTCCAGGGACTCGGCTCCTCCGAGCAGAGCCACCAGCGGACCTCTGCGGTGGAGGGGCTGGACGGCCGCTGCCGACCGCACCACAGGCTCTCCGTCATGGACGTGTCAAGGCTCAACCTCTATCGCGGACAGAGCGACTGTCTGAAAGAGCACTTCGACGAGAGGAGGTTTTGCTACTGTAAAGAGCTGCTGTGAGCACCCTGCTTTAGATAGCACGATGTGGCCTGTGCTGTGCAGAGAGCGATGTTGCCGATGTTACCGTACTGATCGACTATCACGTTTCAGTATAGCTGCAAAATGTTCGGTGATGTTCGGTGCAGCTAGGAAATCATGTGAGCTGTAATACAACCTGTCCTAGATATTTCCGAAACACTGGGGCACGTTTTGAAATGTAATAGTGAGCTTCATTATTCCACAACGAAGCACATGAATGATTTACCGTTTAACGATTTCCCAAAGCTCATTATTACATTCCAACGTGTGACAATCTAGGCATAAGCCGGACATTGTGCTAACATGGACATAATTGCGTTGTGTGACTTCCAGTTTTCAGCAGTGCTTCGTGCATGGGAGTACTCGGCGTGACATTGGTGCATAACTATACCTATCCAATATTCGTGCACTTCATGTGTTACCGGCGATTCATATACATTCAATGTGCACAATCAACAATGGCATCAGGTATTCATGCTCCAAGTTGCACCGTTCATAAACAAGAGCATGAGCTTGTCTGTGTCTACGACCTGCGACAAGTATGACTGTATAGTATACAGTATATAGGTATACCTACATATTTCATCTCAGGATAACATAAGGTCCATACTAAATGCACGAAACCAAATAAATGCACTTCGAATTGCCCTCAGGAGTAAGTTATATAAGGGAGCAATCGTCGAAGGATGGAGCGTTGCCATGCAATATACCAGCGTTGTCATGCACTAACGACGAGTGCATGTGTAAGCGGTAGTATGGTAGGGGAGTGTCGCAGGTTGCTGCATCTATAATAACCCGGCCGGGCCCAGGGGGGGGGGGGGGTAATCCCAACCACCGCAGCCCGGGGGGGGGCCGTTTTTCGCCCCCTGTCTAACTCCGTAAATAAGGGAGATACGGAAACAAAAGCGATACCAAACGAAAGTTCCTTACAAGACGATTCTGAAGCACCTAAAATTTTTGACCTCAGGTCAATTTTCAAGGTCAAAGGTCAAGGTCAAAGGCAAAAACCGGCACATGTGTAGTGATCTCAAAGTAAGCGTTTTAGAGGACGGCAGGATGCATAAAACCGGCAAAAGTGAGTATCAAACGAAAGAAAGGAATCTGAGAATTCCGCAAATGTGCTTAAAATCAAAAGTTAAGGTCAAAATCATACTCAAAATTGACCTCAAACTTTGCACTTTTTCGTACATCTTGCTGCTAAGTTCATGTTTTGAAATGTTTTGACGCTTATCAGGTCCCTATTTGTGGTTCATCTTACAATGCAAGGCTGCTCAGAGGTCAAGGTCACAGAAGAGTATACTTGCTAGAGGCTATTTCACTGATTCAAGTTAGTGATAATAAATAAGACAAATTTGCCATCTGGAGGCTCTAAATGAAGGATTAGAGGAAAATAGATGTCAGTTTCGTAGGCGATCGTTTAATCGGTGTAGCTATGACAAGGATTGAAACTTTTTCTTAGGTGAGGTAACTTGACGTGACCTGGTGACCTGACCTTGAGAGCCCTGGGTCTGAAATTTTTAACAACATGTGTGGAAGCGATGCATGAAGGGGTGTGCTAAAAACGGCGGTGTTCTGCGCCGCCGTTTTTGAGATATCTGCGAAAAACCGCAGGGGGGGGGGGGCGTTCAAACACCCCCGGCCCGGCGCGGGTTAAAACCGTTTTTTTTTTTTTACAATTTACTTTGCCTAGGTATTGCACAGCAAAAATAACGCTTTAGGCCCATGCTGCCGTAAACTCGGCTGCTTACTGTGTATTTGAAAGTGACCATCCCACCTTAACATTATTTTTGAGTTGAGATAGCTAAAATTGGGTCCCTGGCTTGCACTTACCGGCTTGAGCACTCGCAAGATCTAGAAATGCCTCAAATCGAAAATATCTATGTTGAGTATCCATGACAGGTTGGATGATGATGTAAATAATAAACAAATTATTGCAAATGCATTCAAATAATAAACAAACTATTTGAATGCATTTTTAATAATTTGTTTATTATTTACATTACATCATCATCCGAAAATATCTAGTTTCAAAGTTGCAGCACTTGGATTCAGAGGGGCTAATGCACTAGAATGCCCATCTGTATGTGTGACATCAGCGCAGATCTAACGATTTTAAATCTTTTACTAAAACGTTTGGTAGCACGCGGTGGTATATGCTGCTTTGTACGCAACAAGTGCCGCACATTCAAATAACGTCGCTAGGAACAGCAGCAATCCCAATTAATGTTAACAAAAGTAAAAGTCTAATATCTTCAAAACCGGTAAGTATTTTTCGATGAAATTTGGTAGATATTCGTTTTCGCTCTTTCTGAACCAAGCGACATCACTTTCATGCCAATTCATTAACTTTTTTAAAGGTGGGAGGGTTCCTTTAACGCAGCCCAACAATGAAAAACACATATATAATACCCTCGCGGCCAGGGCTGCGGAGTCGGAGTCGGAGTTGGAGTCGGAGTCGGTCGGAGTCGACAGTTGTGACCGGAGTCGGAGTCGGAGTCGGAGTCGATTTTAGAAACCCGAGCCGGAGTCGGAGACGGAGTCACCGAAAATCTGTCGACTCCGCAGCCCTGCTAGGCCTGCGGAGTCGGAGTCGGGAGTTGGATATGTCGGTCGGAGTCGACAATTCTGCCCGGAGTCGGAGTCGGAGTCGGAGCTGGTTTTTGAAAGCCGGAGTCGGAGTCGGAGTCGGAGTCGCCGAAAATCCATCGACTCCGCAGCCCTGCTCGCGGCCCCGGGGGTGTTTTTCGCCCCCCCCCCCCTGGCGAATATTTGCAATAGCTCCCGAACGCTTAGGGATAGGAAAGCGAAACTTACAGTACCTTTTCTCCCATCAATTTGACATCTTCTGAAGTAAAACATTTGGACCTAGCTCCCTTGATAACGTCACAGGGTCGATTTTTCTAGAACCCTGCACGGCAAAAAAATGTTCACCTGAGGTTATAGACGTCAGGTCAACGACCCCGCAATGTGGTTTTAGTTTTTCGCAAATAACTTCAAAATATGCCCTAGAGCTACGGCAGTGGTACCATCGCATTCGCCTTGTCAAGCCGCGTCGAATGATAGGGGAGAGTGGGGTAAGATACTCAGGGTTTTACAATCTCATATATTATTCGAAAATGACGATCGGAAAGCAAAAGCTTCGAGTTTCAACGGAAGCCGACATCATTTTCTTAAAAAAAAAAAAAACACTTTCGTGTCTGAAATATGATAGCTTTTATGCTAATAAGCATTTTCCTGAAGAAGTGAAAGGGGGCATCTTACCCCACAGGGTGGGAAAGACGCCCCCTGGCGTTGGGGAAGATGCCCCCTGCACTACAAGTGACATATGTAAATGGGCACGTAAATCGCCTGAACGAATCAGCAGTCCCTTCGAGCCTGCAATAGACACTAAACGTCATCGTAAGGGCCCTCAAAAGAAGTCGTAAGGGGCTTCAGAGGTCATCGTTAGGGCCATCATTGTTCAGCGCGGCCAAACAAGCCTCCGTGATGGCGTTCGGAGACCGCTGTGGGGCCCTTATAGGTCTTCATGATGCTTGAGGGCCCTCGAGCCCATCGTGGGGCCTTCAGATGCCAGCGCGGCCCGTGGAGCCAACGTGGAAGCCCTCAAAGGATGTCGTGAGGGCCTTGGAGCCAATAATGGGGCCCACAGAGGCCGTCGTGAGGGCTCTCAGAGTCAGATGCCGCCCAAAAAGTCGCTGTGTGGGCCGAGGGACCGGCATGGGGGCTGGTGAGCACCCGACCGTACTGGACTCTCAATAGTCCCAGATCGGCTTTTGTCTCTCATTACAAGTAGGTATGTAATAAATAATTTGACGGGTTCCTTGAAGGCCAGCCTACGGATTTAGGGGGGGGGGGGCGTCTTTCCCCATCAGGGCAGGGGACATCTTACCCCAAGTTACCGAATTAACATTAAATCAGTACAATTTGTTAGCCATAAAACGACACCCTGAAACAAACTGTTTGGGACACAGTACACGCATGTTAACCCGCGCACCGACGGGGGTCTGCGCCAACTTCGCACCGACGGGGGGGGGGCGGATGACCGCCCCCCTGAGATCTCGAGAACGAAGCAAGATAGCGACAAGCGGTAAACGGCATCGGATACGCACGGCCAAGATCTACAATTTTTACTAAGGTCATTTTCAGGTCAGGTCAAAGATGACGTCACAGGGGTCGAAAAAGTCAAAATGGCGGCGCTAGATATGGAGAGAGTTTTTCTCGAATAACTTTCGAATTAGTGAAGATAGGAACAAACTAAGGGCATCATCGTGATCCTCTCGTCAATCCGCATCGAATGATATATATGTTGACCTCAAAAGGTCAAGGTCAAAGGTTGACCTCAGGTCACGTGACCTCGAGGTCATCATGTATATGCGTCTTGACGAGCTGAACACAATGAGACCATCCACGCGTCTGTATCTTGTTCCTGTACGGAGTTATTGGCCAAAAACCTTTGGTGACCTTTGATGACGTCACATGACCTCACAGCTGCCCAACAGCAAAACATACCTCAAGGTAGTGAAGGTTGATCGTATATGAAGTCATGTATGGTATATGGGGCCATTCCGACCCGTTTTAGTGGTAAAAACAGGGAGTTGATTTTTCCCCCATTGATTTATAATGGGGAGGTCGCGAAATTGACCTGACCTTAGGTCACCGATATCAAAATTCCGAGATATACAAATTGTAGCTACTAATGACCTAATAATATCCTGCGACTTTCAAAGGCCTCCGACATCTACTGTAGCTCTGGCACGGTGACAAAGTTGCAAAAAAGTGACGAGGTTGGGTCATTCAAAGTGACCTGGTGACCGGACCTTAAAAGGTAGGAGGTTCAAACTTGCAAACCATGTGTAAAATTGATGAGGTTATAGTCATACCAAATTTCGCGGCGCAAAACCTCAGGGGGGGCGGATATCCGCCCCCCCCGTCGGTGCGAGGGTTAATGTATCACGACCATAGCAACGGACATAAAAATTATTTACCTTCTTTGATATTTATAATGTTTTGACACCAAAATATTTTTTGAAAGAAGCAAATAAAAAACATGGAATTACCAGCCAGCCGTTGCCCAACTGAGCTTCGCAAATTTTTGTGCAGTTAACAAGGCAGTCTTCCACTTACCCCGCGCCCCGCTGGGGGGGGGGGGTAGAATCTGCCCCCCTCCCGTTTTTCGCCAATAACTTCTAAACGCGTTACCCCAGCGACGTCAAACTTTCCGTACCTTATCATACATCAATTGGACACGTTCCCTGAAAATTTGAGCGAAATCCGTCCGAAAATTTTTGAGAAAATGACGTTTTAGTGACGTCATGTTCGCCATTTTCGCCTAAAAAACGCAAAATTTCAAACATCTTCATTTTTAACCCGCGCCCCACTGGGGGGGGGGGCTATTTTTAGCCCCCCTCCCGTTTTTCTGCAATAACTTCCAAACCGCTTGACGTATCGACGCCAAACTTTCAGTACCTTCGGCCGCGTCAATTCGACACCTTTTGTCAAAATTTGAATTTTGTAGCTACCATAGGTCGGTCGGAAACGACGTCAGAGTGACGTCATGTTCGGCCGATTTCGACGCAAAACATTGAACCACGGCAATCGCTCCCAAGGGCTCAGTTTTTAAGCTAGATCCAATTTCTTTGCATGAGAGGACTCAGAATAGACTGCGCTATCAAACTGC